GCTGAGGTAGAAGGATTGCCTGAGCCCAGGAGTTCAAGGCTGCTTGTTGTGATTGTTGTGGTCATGCCACTGCACTCCAGCCTCGGCGACAGAGTAAGATCCTCAACTCAAAAAAAAAAAAAAAAAGACACGGTGATACACACCTGTAATCACAGCATTTTGGGAGTCTGAGGCAAGAGGTTTACCTGAACCCAGGAGTTCGAGACCACCTGGGCAACTTGGCAACACCTCGTTTCTACAGTAAATCAAAAAATTTGCCAGGCATGGTAGTGCATGCCTATAGTTCCAGCTACTTGGAAGGCTGAAGAGGAAGGATTGCCTGAACCCAGCAGGTCGAGGCTTTGGTGGTCGTAATTGTGCCACTGTACTCCAACCAGAGTGATAGAGTGAGACTCCTACTCTCCCCCCCAAAAAATTTGAGAGACAGATTAGGACATAGACAAAGGGTTGACCATGTGAGAACACAGAGAAGGCTGCTGTCTTTTGTTGTTGTTGTTTTCAGTTGTGGGAAAATATACATATCATGAAACTTACCATTTTAACCATTTTTAAGTGTGCTGTTCCGTGGCATTAATTCACATGGTTATACAACTATCACCACCACATCGTCCCCAGAACTTTTTTGTTGTCCCAGACTGAATCTCTGTCCCTACTAAACATTGACTTCCCATTCCTCCATCCTCCGGCCTCTGGCAACCACCATTCTACTTTCTGTCTCTGAGTCTGACGACCCTAGGGACCTTACATGAGGGGGATCAGACAGTACTTGTCTTTTTTGTATGATCCCACTTGTGTAAGGTACTGAGAGTACCTTGCGTGATAACCTATCACAGTGACCTCGGGGTTTATCCATGTTGTGGCATGTGTCATACTCTCTTTATGAGGCTTTTTAATATTTCATTGTATGTATATAGCCCACGTTGTTCACCCATTCATGTGTCGGCAGACGCTTGGGTGGCTCCCACACTGGACTAGTGTGGCTACTGCTGCCATGGCATGGCTGTCCAGTGTCTCTCTAGGACACTACTTCCAGTTCTCTTGGATTTATACCCAGGAGTGGAGTAGTTGGATTGGTGCTTGATTTTTGAAGTGAGCCCAGTTTTCTAGAAAAGCAGGCAGGATATTAGATAAAGAACAGCTCTCTTGACTCCATTGTAGAGTCCTAATTTAACTTGCTAAATTGCACCAATTGAGTGGGGCTTCTGTGCAGTGTTGATGTAAGGTAATAAGCATCAGAAATGTGTCTTGTGTTGATTGACTTGAATATATTTCATACCACATTTTTTTTTTTTTTTTTTTTTGAGTTGGAGTCTCACTCTGTCACCCAGACTGGAGTGCAGTAGCCGTTCCCGGCCACCGCAGCCTCAACCTGCTGGGCTCCGGCAATCCTTCCGCCTCAGCCGTCAAGTAGCTGGAATTACAGGCATGCACTACCACGCCTGGCTGATTTTTTGATTTATTGTAGAGATGAGATCTCGCTGCCCAGGCGGGTCTCGAACCCATGGACTCAGGCAATCCACTTACCTCAGCCTCCCAAAGGTGCAGGATTACAGGCTGAGCCACAGAGCCCTGGCTTCATACCATACATTTTACACCAGAGCCCTTTTCTCATACTTATCTAAATGAGGGTGTGAACCCATCAGCCCAGTCTCACTGTCACTGTTAGTTTCCAGACACTTTATCACACAGCAGGCTGACTGGCAGGTGTTCTTTTAAGATGTGCTGATACTGTTTGGAATTCAAATTTTGGAAACTATTTTTATTTTTTAAATCTTGCTGTCAGCCAGGCTCTGTGGCTCAACCTGTAATCCCAGCACTTTTGGAGGCCGAGGTGAGTGAATTGCCTGAGTCCGCAGCTTCAAGACTCGCCCGGACAACATGGTGAGACCTCGTCTGTACACTACATCAAAAAAATATTAGCAGGGCATCGTAGCACGCGCCTGTAGTTCCTGCTACGAGGAAGGCTGAGGTGGAAGGACTACTGGAGCTCAGCAGGTTGAGACTGCGGTGGCCGGGAGCGGCCACTGCACTCCAGTCTGGGCAACAGAGTGAGACTCCAACCCCCCCCCAAAAAAAAAAAAAAAAAAATCTTGCTGTCATCTGAAAACACAAAGGTTCTAAAATGCCTGTTTCCCCTGAAGCTTAACCAAAAACATTTGGGAAATTCAAGCTGGGAGAAAGGGTGCTGGGTTTCCAGGGATTCCTGGGAGAATGCGGCCTTGCCCAAAGGCAGCTCTCTCTTGACTGCTCATAGTGTCTGCCTTCAGCTGGAACCACTGGTGTCAATGTACCTTTTCAGACTGGTTATCAGGCTAGTTCTTTGTACCATTAAAACCACTTAGCATTGGGAGAATAAGCTCTGTAGTGATGCCTTTTGGCCACCAGACGGCGATCTGTCCATGGATAGCTCTCATGTTCTTTGGGACTACTAGCCTGAGAATTTGAGAACTTCTGGCCTTAGAGATGTTTTTGACACTTTTGTTTTATTGAAATCTTATCTGGGTTCTAGTATTTCACAGGATAATCTGTTAACTAAATCTCATTTAAATGAAGCATAAATTAAAGTCCTTTAAAAAATCATCACAAATAAAAGTAATTTCAATTCTTGGAATTCTTGGAAAATATAAAATGTAACACAGTATATACATTGGAGCTTGTTAGCTCTTTCACTAGGCTGACCAGAACAACAAGTAGGTTATGCTATTTGATGAAAAGACCTGAATGCTGGGTGTGGGGGTTCATACCTGTAAATCCCAGCACTTTGGAAGGCCAAGGCAGGAGGATTACTTGAGCCCAGGAGTTCAAGACCAGCCTGGGCAACATAGCAAGACTTCATCTCTACAGAAAAATTAAAAAATTAATTGGGCATGGTGGTGACCACCTATAGTTCTAGCTACTCAGGAGGCTGAGGCAGAAGGATCCCCTGAATCCAGAACGTCAGGGCTGTGGCGAGCCATGATCATGCCACTGTGCTCCAGCCTGGCTGACAGAGTGATACCTAGTCAAGAAAAAAAAAAAAACCTGGATGTGACTCTACTCAGGCCTTTACTAGAAGCTTGCAAGTTTTATAATTCTCATTTGCTCAGCAGCTTCTGTCTCACTAAAGCCACCACCTGCCCTTGTTCAAACCCCAGCTTCCCTACACTGCCTCCTAGTGCTCCTGTCCCTTGTCACAGCAGCATGGACTGGGGCAAAGTCCTCTTCAGACTCTGATAGCTTAGTGAAGTGACTGGCCAGGAGCAGGCAATATGGAACTCAGGACACCATGGGGTATGGAGTGATGCTGCGTTAGTCTGAGACCAGGAAAATCAGGAAATGTGTGTGCAGGGGCCAGAACTGGGACGCTCAGTGTTCAGTGGAGTTGGCGGAGCATGGCTCAGAATGCAGAGCTGGGTTCGGGATCAGGGCTGGGCCCTGCACTCGGGACAGGGCTTGTCAGTGTTCAGCCGCACAGGACATGGTGACTGCATGTCCTGTCCTCCTGCGGCAGGTGTATTTACCCCACCCGCAACCCTTGTTCCTCTCTGCCAGAGCTCCACATGTCCTAAATTTGGTTCTGTGGAAAGTCTTCCGTCAGGTACTGTGCTGGAGGCCATATGCTGCAGTTCCTGGCTACGAGGAGATGAGTAAGAGAGACTTGAGTTAAGCCATCCATTATGGCATAATGGGGTAAAGGGCAGAGTGGATGCCTGAATGGTGTGCTGTGGGCAAGGCTCACCAGGCCTTCCTAGGGACAGAGACGCGAAACTGAGTGCCTGGCCCTGGCCCAGCATGCACCACAGTTCTCTCACTCAGACCTCCCCTGCCCCCACCAAGTAGCTATGGAGAGATACACATAATTTGAAAGATGACTTGTGGTACATACACACGATTGAATATTATGCAGCCATAAAGAAGGAGAAAATTGTGAACTTTGCAGCAACTTGGATGGACTTAGAGTCTACAATACTGAGTGATCTGTCACAAAAACAACTGAGTACCACATGTTCTCACTTATAAGCAGACCTTGAAAAATTATCATAATACTGTAAGAAAGGGATTGGCAGAGTTGGAAACTGCCAGGGAAGGGGCGGGAGTGGGATTGGCAGTAGTGGAAAACTGCCGGGGGAGGGGACACACCTCAACAAGGGTACCTGCATAATGAACATTTATATACCTAACCCTAAATTGTACCCCACATCTTCAAAATAAAAAGTTTAAAAAAAAGATGACTGACGTGCGAGATTCTCCAAGTAGGCGTGTTACTGTGTATCCCGCCTACCCGTTCTTCAAATTTTTCATCAAAATGTGAATTGGTTGGGAGGGGGGCCTTGGCTTCTCCTTCGCCGACCTGCCTTTTTAACTGAATGGTTCTCGGAGTGGGACCGGGCACCGGCAGCCTCAGTATCACTGTCACCTGTGCACTCGTTAGACATGCAGATTCTCAGATCCCACCCAAGACCTCCCGAATCTGAAGTCTGACAAGCCCTCCAGGTGACTCAGAGGCAGGCTTGAGTTGGAGACAACAGTTTTCATTCTTCATAGTTGGTGAGTGTCCTTTGTAAGAGAAGTGAGCTGGCAATGGACAGCCCCCACACTCCTGCCTTTGGCTAAGGAGACTGAGTTTCTCCTGGGGCCCTTCCAGGTCTCCACTTGCAGCTCTTGACCACTTTGTATGCCCTGGTGAGCACACTGTTGGGCCGAGGTTTGTGGCCAGGGCCTGCTGGGTGTGTGCAGGCTCAGAGAATGCCTCACTCTTAGGAAGCACTTCCTGGTGATTGTCCCAGTTACCCATTGCTCATTCTTCTGGGCACTGGATCAAGTGGATCGGGCCTTTAATACCAATTTGGTGGTTAGACTGTAACTCTGGTGTCCAACCAGGCAATTAATTTGGTTTAATTTGGTCCCTTTTCTCCTTGGAGGGTGCCATTTTCTGGACCTGGCCACAGCACCTTGCCTTGGCAGGCCACATGTCATGGCGTGGCAGCTAAGCACAGGCTTTTTTTGTCTTTGCTTTGCAGGAATGAGCTAGAGCGACAGTTTCTTGAATTACTCCAGTTCAACATCAATGTTCCTTCCAGTGTTTATGCCAAGTATTATTTTGATCTTCGCTCTCTGGCAGAAGCAAACAACCTGAGCTTTCCCTTGGAGCCCCTGAGCAGGGAGAGGGCTCACAAGCTAGAGGTAAGAGTCCTGACGATATTGTTTCTTGATGTGCTGGCACAGAGATGCCATCTGAGAGCCACAGAGGGTGTGATTGTGGTGATGATGTCCCCCGTAGGTGTTGGAGAAGAAGGGCAAGGTGCCTGGGTTATAGTGCACAGGGGGTTTAGTTCATTGCAACTTGTACAGTTTCATACTTTAATAACCTTCTTAGTATCAGTTATCCTTAATGAGTACTGGTTCTATTTTGGAATCAAAGATTTTTTAAAGCCCTTATCCTTAGAAAAAGTGTTTGTTTTTTTTTTTAATTGTAAATGCACAAATAAAGGTACTTCCCAGTATGCACTTTTGTAGGAAAAAGCTACCTGAAGACGTTAACAATTGGGAATCCAAAAAGAGTTAATTCTGCTTTTGATTTTGTTTTCCAAAATAATTTTTCCATGCCCAGTTAAAGCAGGGCCAGCCACGCTGCTTGTGGTCTGGGCTAGGACTTTCCTTGTTAAGCTGTAAGACTTGTGTTTTGTCACGGCATATTGTGTGGAGCTCAGCTCATATTTTCAACAGCTCTTCCCATCTAACCTTTTGGCAGGAGGAAAAGCAGTTGGTGGTAATAAAGCAGGCTCATCAGTGAGACCCAGAGGTCCTCATGCTGCCCACCCCCTGTCCATCCCATGTGGGAGGTGGTCCCTTAGTGTAGGGTCAGGAAGGGCAACCTGGCAGCCTGACCACAAGGTGATCTATAGCTAGGGGTAGAGAGTTATTATGGATGTGGGCTTGAGAAAAAAACTTAAATAAGAGTTTTTTAAATAAGCCATATGTTAAGCCCAAAAAGGAAACTTGGTAAATTCTAGAAAAGACTGGACGGACAGCACTGTGTTTAAAGTAAAAATCCAGTGGGGTTTTCAAAGCTCAGCAATGCTGCTGGGATTAAGGGCCAGCCTTTGGGATGCAGAACTCTCCCTCTGAGGTTATGCTTCAAAGCAAATAGTGTCAAACCTTCACAAGCACGTTCATGGAGTAGATGCAGGATGTCCTGGCCACGTGAGCCCCTCTCAGCCTGCACCCCTAGTGTGCCACACTGGCTCCTGTTGCTCTGTAGCTCTGGGGAGAGGAGCTGGACCTCGTGGCTGCCACTGAGCCCTGTAGGAAAGCAGGTTCCAGTTCCCTTATGGGGAATGCCTCGTGCTCAGGCGGGCACCTGAGAGCACAGGCCAGCGAGACTGGTGGAGTCACACCTGCAGTTCATCTTAGGTTGATCAAGTGCCTGCAAGGAAAACCTGCCTGCCAAGGGCTCATGTATTCACCAGGGCAGGAAAAAAGGTCAGTCCTGTCCTGGCAAGACTGTTCTTTCTCCTCTCCCAACAATCAGAGTGTTCCCAAGACCCGGACATGCCCTCCTGGGACAGGTGGGCTCAACCTTTTTGCTACCAGGTGTTCCTGCTGCCCCTAGTGGCCGCCCTGGTGGTGCTGTTGCCAGGAAGGGCCCTCCCCATCCCGGGCCCCTGTCTTGTGGACAAAAGCTGATTATCTCCACGTCCAATGTTTTTATCACCACCATCCCCCTGTGCCCCAGTCCCTTCTTCTGCAGTCATCTCAAGGTGACTCACACACTCAGTCGTGAACTCTGCTCTGAGTTTGGTTATGGCGGTCTGCAGCTGTCAGCACCACAAACTGAGCTTTCCTTCCCAGGCTCGGTCGAGCTCCTATGCGTCATTGCAGCTCCCAGGGCAGGTGCTGCTTCACATCTTTTGCAGATGAGGGTGCTGAGTATCAGAACAGGACATGTGTGCAGGCCACACACCCCTACATGGGGAGCCAGCATTGTCCAAGAGCCTGGCTGGCCGCAGGCAACACTGTCCCATGGTCATTTCACATTCTGACATGCTTTTCTCAACCAGACTGTCAGCACTGTGGGAGCTGGGCTTGTGTCTACATTGCCTTTGTATCCTCACCGTGGCTAGCAGAGCTGGGCTGTGGGATTGAGCCCACAGGAGCAGGACCTGTGCCTGTGGGGTTCATACAGTGTCCTCAGCCTCTAGAAGGATGCTGGCACAGGAGCATGTTGTCTGACAAGGGGGTGGTGGCACGTGGATGGTGTCTATTCCCAAGACCTCACTCCACTTGTCTCTCTTGCCCCAGGCCATTTCTCGCCTCTGCGAGGACAAGTACAAGGACCTGAGAAGAGCCACAAGGAAGCGGTCAGCAAGTGCTGACAATCTGACTCTGCCGAGGTGGTCCCCGGCCATCATCTCCTAACCGCGGAGGGCCCGCGGGAGGCCGCGCCATCCCTCAGTTTCTCCTTTAGTTTGAGAAAAGACAGACTTGGGGTGGGTTTTTTTTTTCTTTCCTTTTCTTTTTTAACTCATAGCTCCGTCAGGCCGTCTTGAGGCCGCCTCCCCACCGTGTGGCCTGCACACCGCAAGGCTTCGAGGGACACAATTCAGTCTTCTGGAAATCCCGTGCCACGCCTTTCCCCATGGTCGGTAACAGCACTTCCTTCGTGGAGGACACAGACTCTAATCGTGGAGGAGGAGATGAAGGAAAAGGGAAGTTGTGGAGAGGCAGGGAAAACAGCTCCATGGCTGGCCACTCAGTCGCCGGTGTGCAGTGGAGAACTCGCTGGGACACAGCAGTGGCTGGCAGGGGCCGGATGTGCATTGAAGACGGGAGTGCTGCCTTCGCCCCGCAGGCAGTGTGCCCTGTAAGACTTCTGCATTCCTTCTTGCTGCTTTTTGGGGATCTGGGGGACTTTTGTTTGTTTTTATCCTGTTTGGGTTTTGGTCCCACAGGGCAGAGACTATAGTTTGTACCCACCCTGGCACAGACATCCAAATAAATAGTACTGGTTGTTTCTCTCTGCACTATTTTTGCGAGCTGTCTTCTGGGCTTTCTTCCTCACCAGGGGGATGTGCTTGTTACATTTCTGTACACCTTTATTTGATACCGTTTTTCTTCAACAATGGCAAAATTAACTTGACTGTAGTGCTGAACCAAAAGTATCCCTTTCCCTCCTTATTCCTCACCCCAAGAAAATTCTAGATCACATGGGTGCTTGTGCCTTCCGATTTTCTTGCAGTTGTTTTTTTTTTTTTTCTCTCTGACCTGAAGTTGTAGTTACAAAATCAGTCAGACTCTGTGGGCTGAAGGAAGCAACGTGCAGCCAGGGCGTCCTCGGGCGAGAATCCTCAGAGTGGGGGCTTTCCGAGTGGCTGAGGAGGAGCTGTTTCTCTGTACTCCCTGACTCATTCATTCCTCTACTTCCAACGTCCATTGTTGCAAGCAATATTCTTCTCAATTTTTATATGTTTACTTTAAATCAAAATTAGTCTATTTGTATAAAATTTTTTAAAAATCTAAAATTTAAAAAAAAAGGGTGGGTGGGTGTTCCAGTGGGAGGATCATTGAAGGGGAAAATGTTACTATTTACTGAGGTATTTTTCACAGAATGATTGAATAAAAAAACTCGACTTGTGTTTTCATTGTGGGTGCTTAGAGGTTCTACAAAATTCAAACTGTGAAGGTTTATGCTTCATTAATTTTGACCATACTTTTTCATTTTCTCTATTTCTGATTTCCTTATGGGCTAGATAAGATTTTTTTTCTGTCAACTAAAATAAGAGTTAATGATAAAACACCAAATAGTAAATTTGACATTAGGTTTAAGAATTTGAGTCACTCACACATATAAATGCTCTGGGTCTTTGCCTGTTTTTTTGGTCATAGTAACAGCGGTTTCTGAGTTTTTTTCCTTTTTCCAGTCTCTGAGGCAAATGACAGCAGATGATCTGTGTTTTCCCTTCTTCCCATGTGAGCTTGGAAACTTTGGAATCTTCTATTAAATAGTCTTGAGTACCCTGAAATCGTACACCTGACCCGCAGCTTCTTACTCTTGATGAAACACGCTTTGGAAACGGGAGAGACTCAGAAGGTCAAAATCTCAAGCACACCAAGCCAAAAGTGTCAGTCAGGTTTCAGTGAAATTTGTGTCATGAATAAACATACCCGCTGGGGCCAGAAACATCTCCTTTCTGCCCTAAACTTTCAAAAACAGACAAGCAGAATATGAACAGTAAATTGTGATGCTGTACTCTGTATGGGTACCAAAATCAGCTTCTCCAAGTAAGAGTTGAATTTAACTTTAAATACAGATCTAAAAATGTAGAAAATATCATTTTATATTCCCTAATCTATATAGCTTAAAAAGGGACGTATTTTCTTAGCTGAATATGAATACCTCTTAAACACAAATTAGTTCCTCTCATGTAAAGTATCTTATTTTACCAATCCATTTCAGGAAAGAGGTTCTGCTGCCTTTATAGCAGAAATCTTATTTTTATCCCTTTTATTTGAATGAGAGATTTGAAAATTGAATTATGTAAATATTTCAATGCATCTGCTATTATTTTGTGGAGTTTATTAAACTACTTTAAAAAATTGTATAGTCTATTTATTGTATGTATGTACATACAGTCTGATACCTAAACTTTAAAGTAGATTCCATAAAACCTGACTCAGTCTTGTTTGGACTACTGAATATTGTTTTAGCCTGTGCGCTGGACTCTACCTCTGTATAGGAAAATTTTCCATATTCGTAATTAGTATTGATCTGTATTAATTGGTTATGTCTCTTGCACTAAGGATTTCTAAAACTCTGCTGTAAGTGTAGATTTTAGTTTTTCTTTGATAATATGAATCACTTGACACACAGGTGGACACTTGAGGTTCATTTTATTTTATTTTTCTACATGATGATGAATAGTTATGGTTTGTTCTCTGATTTGTTCTAAGTTTGCCAAAACAAAACACAAAACCAGTGCAGTACCTATTGAATCGTAGTGACTGTAATTTGTTTGCAAGGTGATTCAATGCCCTACAATTAAAGCTGGATTGCTACTTAGGAACACATTGTCTTAGTGTAGTTTTTGAATGGAACGTTTTTGTCATTAATGAAGGATGAAGAAAACCACACAATGTGTTGACTTTAATTTTAGATTTGACTTAAAAACAAATAAAGTCATTGGGACAGTACGTCTATATCCCGATGAAATTTTTTGGTTTGCTTTACTCTTTCCAACTAGGAAAAGGGAAAGAAGTCAGAAGCTTAAAAACAAATTGGAGAGCAAGGTGACGGTCCTACAGAAAGGAGGGTATGTGCCCACACCTTAGCACATGGGGTGCAGCAGGGGCAGTGGCACCCATGGTCTGTCTCCTCATTCAGGCTGGCTCTGCCCCCATTGCTTTCCATGGGCCTTGGTGAGGCATCTCCATCCTGGGGTTTCCCTTGTTTCTGGGGATTTTGATCCTCAGCTGAGCTGCAAAGCAATTTGGGGAGTGAGTGATTTTGATTTTCTTGCTGCTTTTGGTAACCTCTCACCTGGGGCCATATTTTACAAATTTGAATTTAAAAAATATGATTCCTGGTTATTGTAGGTGTTTAGTAAGTGTTAAATAAATGGATACATAAATACAACAAATAGTGCTTGCCTTCCTGCTGCATTTTTGAGTTAATATATTGAGATAAAATGTAACCGGTTTTACAGATGCTGAATGAACCATTTCTTTGCCAGAGCAGTGGTAGAGAGTGATATTTGCCCTGTAAGTCGAGTGACTCACAGAAGTATGAGACCCACCAAAAAACCTACAGCAGTTGAGATGGCTGCACAGTAGAAACCTAATAGAGCACATCACTTTTACATCCATATTCTGTTTTATCTAAAATCACTTTGCAGCCTGGGCAACATGGCCAAACCCCATCTATACAAAAAAATTTAAAAAATTAGCCAGGCATGTTGATGCATGCCTGTAGTTCCAGCTACTTGAGAGTTTGGGGCAAGAGGATCCCTTGAGCCTAGGAGTTGAGACTACAGTGAGCTATGATCACACTACTGCCCTCCAGCCTGGGTGACAGAGTAGTACCCTGTCTCTCAAATAATAAATTTTCATCTTTTTTTCTTTTTTTTTTTTTGAGTCAGAGTCTCACTCCGTCACCCAGGCTGGAGTGCAGTGATATGCTCACGACTCATGGCCACCCCAGTGTCAACCTGCTGGGTTCAGGCGAACCTTCAGCCTAAGCCTTCCAAGTAGCTGGGACTACAGGCGTGCACTACCATGCCCGGCTAATTTTTTGATTTATTGTAGAGATGAGGTCTTGCCAAGTTGTTCAGGCTGTCCTTGAACCTATGGGCTCAGGCAGTCCCTCACCTCAACCGCCCAAAGCCCTGGGATTGCAGGTTTGAGCCACTGCGCCTGGCCATAATAAATAAAATCCCATTGTCTTGCTTGACTTCACAGGAGTCAGCATCTTGGGTGGGTCTTTAAAATAGACATGGGTCATTTTTCTGAAAAGCCAACCACAACAAGCTCCTTGTAGAAAAAGAGAAGGAAATAGAAAACATGCCCTCAAACTGAGATGGGAAAAGGATACTTACCTCTAGTTTTATTGCTTAAGCTATGTGTACTTTAAGGAAAGTTTTACAAGCAACTTTATAAAGTTAATGACTTGCTGTTACTGAATGACGAGTCTTAGTAGAGCGATCATACCTGAGGCCAGATGCCCCCCATGTGCCCAGAAGGCCCCAGCAGGGGTCAGGGAAACTCCTTGGGGTGCTTGCAGCTGCACAATTGGTGATGGAGTTTGGACCTCCAAGTCAGCAGACTTCCCAGTTTTTCCTGTTAGATTTCATACTAAGTTTGTATATGTTTGGGGGCTGAGGGCCCTCTGTGTCACTTCAGATTGAAACTTTGTTCAGGAGCTCAGCGATCAACACAGAGATGAACTTCTTGACCTGTCACTTGGAAGAGTCGTCAGAGGCTGCTGTGTGTGGTGCTGCAGGTCTGAGCTGTCCACAAGCCCCCAGGTGAGGATTTGTCCTGGCAACTGTATCTGTCCCTTGTAGAATTCTCTGCAAACAGTTCTGCAGAACCTGTTAAAGTAAGGAATGAGCATGGTGTCTGACTGAATGGTGTCCAGATTTCATGGGTCTCAGTAAACTTTCTTGTAACCTGTAGTGTGATTTGGATAGGAGGTTTTATTCCTTTTAAGTCCTTTTGTTTACATAATTGTTATTTCAAATGTGAGATGAAAGAATGACATTCCAGAACACAGCTTGGGACAAAAATAATAAATGTAACTAGAGTGTATGTATAACATTATGTTAACACTGGTATCGATCTGTAACGGAACCTTGGGTTTTAGTCTCAGTCCAAAATTAACTTGCTCTGTGACCTTGGACAAATGACTTCACCTCTCTGGACTTCTCCGTGAACTTGGCTGTGAGAGATACTCTTGCTAGTTTTTTGGCCACTGGTCTTGTACTGTTTCTGAACACGGCCTGCTCAGCCATTTTTGCATTGCGATTATGGCAGGCACTTCAGATATAGCAAGGCTGGACTTAGTCAAAGACAAGTAGGAGGCTGACTGTGAGTTTCCCAGGGAAGTCAGCTGTCCATTCCAGAGTCCTTACCTGAAGAAGGGTGGCCACTGGTGGATACAGCAGGTCTTAGGTAAAGGGGTGGGTATCCAGACTTCACGTAAGACCTGTGCATCCTTCCTGGGTCTCTCCTGCCACCGATGAATGTTCTGCTTGTCCTCCAATTGGGGTTCCTGGACCTGGTTTGTGAATTCTTGTCCACACTGGTGGATACTGAAAAAATCTCGAAGCTGTGAAGTTGGGTGAATAAATTCACCCCAAAGTGAATCTGTCTTGTCATTGTTGTTAACCCAGTGGTGCCAATCCTTCCTAGACTTGCAGGCCAGAACTCAGAAAAGCTCACCTTGGAGAAGGAGGAGTTTGCTCGTCTTTCTGTGTGGCACCTCCGATCTACCCGGAGGATGGAAAACAGCCACTTCCAGGTTTCCCAGAGCTGCCCCTGCTTCCCAGTTCCTGAGACTATGTAAAAGGACTTACATTTGGGAGGGGACCAGAAGAGTTGGGGCCCACTCCAAAGAAAAGACCAGCATTTAGGGGGCAGTGCATGGTAAAACTATGACTGCCGGGTCGGGACACCCCAAGACCAGCCCTGGCAAGACACAGTGGACATATGTGGGCTGACTTTTCATGGCCTTGCTGAAGTCTGAGATGCTTTATCTTTAAAACAGAAATGCATCACTCTCTAGATCACCCTGAGATC